AGGACATCACCACTGCTAAAATTCAGGAGGCAATTTATTGCATAAAGCGCTTCTGTATATTGATCATGTGAATGTACTACTTTATACTAATAAATGAGTGTTTAAGGATAAAGCACTATGATCTGGTTATTCTCTCAACATACCCACCGATGGAGGAGAGCCACTAGATGAGCAAAGGGGATCCTATTCAGCTGGATACCATCCCACCTGGCCACAGCACATAAACTGCAAGGTGGGAGCTTCACTGTTCTGAGTGGACGTTCAGGAACGTCCTTCAGAACATGCAAACAAACGCAGCCTCATGCTCTTGGTTTGCCTGTGTCCCTTGGATACAGCGCAACACCGCTCGGCAGAAGGTCCCTCTGATTGGCCCTTTTGATCACATGACGACTGTGCCCAATCACAGCCGTCATGTGATGTCAACAAAGCCGCCATTCACTTGATCGGCTCTGCCTCTCCTCACACAGAGCCAGTGCCGATCAGCGAGTACACACAAGCACATCGCCCACACATCACTCTGTTACCGTGCGCCACATCTGTCACGGTGCACCAGTGATCCACATCCATCACGGTGCACCAGTGTAAAATTCACATCTGCACCAGTGATCCACATCTGTCCGTGTACCAGTGCTCATCCACTTTTGTATCAACATCTGTTACAGCCTACCAGGGTCAAATCCACATCTGTCACAGTTTACCAGTGTCAAATAAACATCTGTACCAGTGAACATCAAAATGTCCAAAATATTATACACCAGCAAGGAGGCTTTCCAGATACTGACTATGACGGACGATAGTGGTGGGGAACTCTCTTTGTCAGACTCAGATTATGAGTACGAGCCAACTGAAAGCAGTGGGTCAGCAATGGATTCTGAGGAGGAGAGTCCAAACAAATAGGTGATGATCAGTGTACATGTCCCCTCCGCAGAAACCAGATTACCAGCTCTCCTCTCGAGCTGTCAGCGTGACAGCTCAAGAGGAGAGAAATGCCAATAACCGGCATTTCCCTGTTTACATGTGATCAGCTGTGATTGGACACAGCTGATCACATGACTGTGCCGACATCTTCGGTTCTTTGCGTGATTGGTGATCTGCTGTTTAAAGTGCCCCCATCCCCCCGTTCTCCCACATAGTGGTGAACGCATACGTAGGCTATGCCCACATATGTAAATGGTGTACAAACCATACATGTGAGGTATATCAGAGCAAGAGCAATAATATTCGCACTAGACCTCCTCTGTAACTTTACACGGCTAACCTGTAGAAAGTTTTAAAGCATCACCCATGGATATTTTTAAGTACTGCAGTTTCAAGACATTCCACGAGCGTGCGCAATTTTAAAGCGTGACATTTGGGTATCCATTTACTCGCCATAACATCCTCTTTCATATTTTACAAAAATAAATTGGAGCATATATTTTTTTTTAATCAAAGTATTTTTTACCAAAAAATATATATTCATTTTTAAAAACTGTGCATTTCGTTTTAGGCCAAGTGCGTTATGAATTTTCATTACCAGAATTTTCATTTTGGTGCACCACTAGGAAAAACCATTCCTACTTTCACTTTATATGAAAGGTATGAACAAAACCCCTCAATAAGCACACAAGCAGCAACAAAAACACAGGGAAGGAAAGTTTTGAAACCCTTCAACAGGCAGCATTTACAACCTGATAGAGTTTCTAACCAGAGCCATGCTGATCATGTTCTTCTACCTCACTCATTGTCATTGAGCAGCCTGGTATGGACTCTCTGGCCTCAGTTCCACACCCTCACTGTGCTCCTATTGAATGAAGATTCCTCATTTGGGGGGGGGCACATCTCTCTCATGCTCGTTCACACCATAGTGCAGAGACATGAGTATTTCTTCAAGCGTTCTGCAAGAGCACAAAGAAAAACAATTGCTCTCTATGTGCCCTGTTCACACATTAGGATCATGAACAGATTTTCTCTGTTCAGGAATATGCAACGTGCATACATATTTCTGCTTGGGGAAAGAAAAAAAAAAAAAAAAAAACACATTAACATTGTGGTGTGAACAGGGCACACAGAGGACAACTGGTTTCTTTGGAATTGTACATGTTCCTGCACAGAAAAAGAAAAAAAAAAAAAAATACAGCAGTGTGACCATGCATGAAAAATGTAAACCAGTTTCTCTGCAAGTGAAATCTGTGCGATATTTCCATCATTTTTTATGCACGCATTGTATGAACAAGGCCTTAGAGCAGGGTTTCTCAACCAGGGCTCCATGGAACCATAGGGTTCCTCCAGAGGTTAACAGGGGCTCCTGGAGAAATTTCTGCCTCTCATAAGTTTCCACTGAGACCATTAATCTTTTTAGCCATCTGTAAGTGGGTAAATCTTCTCAGTATTCTCCCCACTGACAGTCTCACTGAAGTATGAGTTGTAGAATAATTTTTAGCAGGAGTTCCCTGAGGTTTTCAAGTGGTTTACGGCTGAAAAATCAGCCATAACCCCAGTACCGTTTTTTTCAGTGGACGGCTGGCTTTCACATCAAAGCTGTCCTAGTAGCTTGAGTCGCTGGTTTGCTTTCCGTAGCAGTGGGAGGGGAATGCTGACCCCCCCCACCGCTGTTAACTGCGGCTGGCCCAAGAAACGATCCAACGGTACAGCCTCCTCAAGATGGCAGCAATGAAAGACTATGGTCTTTGATCACCTCTATCATGATGGAGGATCCGTCCGTCAGCAAAAGACGTCAACATTTTTTTTTTGTTTTAAGCAAAAAGCCCCCCCCCCTCCCAAAAAAAAAATATAATTTTTTCTCTTTTATAGGTAAAGAAGAGGTTTAAGGTATTTTTTACCCCAGATCTCTTTTTAAAGGAGGACCTGTCATGCATATTCCTATTACAAGGCATGTTTACATTCCTTGTAATAGGAATAAAAGTGATATTAAAAAATAAAAAGTTTAAAACGCCCCATCCCACCATTTCTTTCAGGTACTTGTATATCGCCATCAATTTATGCAGCACTTTACATATATATTGTACATTCACATCAGTCCCTAACCCTCAAGGGGTGTACAATCTAAGGTCCCTATCTCACATTCATACATACACTTTTTTTTTTTTTTTTTTTTTTTAAGTCCGCGGAACTGCGAAAAACCCGCAAGTGAACAAAAACGTGCCAGTGCAAAACCAACACAAAAAGTGCACTTAGGATTGTGCTTTGTCCACCACCCCGAAGGGGTAGGATCTCTACCCTGATCCCCCGAGGCACGAAGCTCCTGACAGGGACTAAGGTTCCCATGTGGTCCACCTATCCAAAGGGCCTGGCGGACCCCTTTCCTTGTGGCTAGCCTAAACCAGCCACCAAGTACTTGGTAAGGGGGCTCTCCTGAAGAGAAGCCACCCTAGGGACAGGGGAGGAAGGAACCAAAAGGCCACACATCCTCCCCCTAGACTTCAGGGTAGGCCCGAGGACCCACACTCTACAATTCGTGAGGAAAAAAAAAACACACACAAGTGAAAAGTGACAAAACGTGGGAGAAAAATAAGTTAAATAAAAAAGTGGCCATACAATTGTGCACTGGCTAGGCCCTGAGGCCCGTAGCATAAAAATTGCCCTGGACTTAGCCAAAAGGCCTAAAATGCGCAGTGCAGAAAAAGTGTTTAGAACAGTGACCATGTGCACATTTCACACGTGGGATCCCATCCCCATGTGCTACCAAGAGCACCCCTGAGGCAACCACTCAGGGGGCACTGTTCCGCAGACTTTCTGCCTCCCCGGCCCCTGGCCAGACAAGGTAGATCCGTTCAAACCAGGAGGAACTGGGCCCCTCTGGTTTACCAGGGGGAATTACTCCCGGGCCCCAACTGCCTGTGTGCGCCTCGGTTTCTGTTCCAGCCTGTACTAACCATCAGGACCCCCATCCTACCAGCAGGGGTACTATACAACCAATCATCTCCACATTCATACATACTAGGGCCAATTAGACAGGAGACAATTCACCTACCAGCATGTCTTTGGAATGTGGGAGGAAATTGGAGTACCCGGAGGAAACCCACGCAGGCACAGGGAGAACATGCAAACTCCAGGCAGGTGGTGCCGTGGTTGGGATTCGAACCGACGACCCTAGTACTGCCAGGTGGAAGGGCTAACCATTTAGCCACTGTGCTGCCCACCATGCTCACGTGCACACATATGTAAATTACGCATACATAAACTGTGTTTGCAGCACACATGTGAGGTATCACTGCAATCGTTAGATCGAGAGCAAGAATTAAAGCTGAACAGGTAAGGTATCTATTTTCACGCCGTACCTTCCTCTTTCATATTTAAAAAAAAAAAAAAAAACAATTGGGATATATTGTTTTTGGTTTTAATTTACTAAAGTGTATTTTTTTTCTAAATAAAACTGCATTTGAAAAACTGCTGCGCAAATACCATGTGACAAAAAATTGCAACGATCGCCATTTTGTTCTCTAGGATCTTTGCAGAAAAAAAAAAATAGAACATTTGGGGGGGGGGGGTCATAAGTAATTTTCTAGAAAAAAAATAGATTCAAACTTCATAAAACGTCATAGCAAACGCTTGGTCTTCAAGTAGATGAATACTAGCGCTCAGGTTTACACACACAGATGTACATTTCAAATTGTAAAATGTTACTTTTTGAACGATACACGAGTACGTATGCAAACAAGCGGCAGGGTTTCTAAGCGCACAGCCACATACAGCGTCTGATATATCTATGGGAAAGAATACGCTCCCAGGAGTCAGGACAACAAGCAGGTTTACTCTGGACGGATATACACCGAATACAAAGGAGTGTGCAAGACCCCTAAAAGTAACACATACAGAATTACTCTTCAATGAACTCTACTGGAAACAAACAATAAAGTGTCTCCATTGACTTCCGCATTGTATTGTACTGGTGTACAGAGCAGTAATGTGAATATACCCCCCTCCCCCACAGGAACTTCTCCCATACGTGTAGCCCCACCATGCAGGCAGCCGACCTCTCCCCACACTACACTGCTTACCGAAGCCTAGAAAACACATGAGAATCAGCACCACCGCACGATGGGCGAAACGATTGGGGTCACATATAGCCGGCATCTTTCCCTGCTGTGTGCTGGCGGAGCCCCCATCTGATCCTTCGGGGAGCAGCGCTTCTTCCTCCTCGTACCCCGCCATATTGGCTACAATCTAATCACGTGATTGATCAGCGTGGTCACATGCTCCGCTCTCATGTGACTAGTCCGCCTCAGTGTAGAGGGCGTGTGTAGTGTTCTCTGAGTACAGCTACATGAGGAAGTATAGTGTGCTCGCTTGTACTGAATGGATTTTATGGAGACATAGTTGGAATATTTACGTTTAGTCAGCATACCATAATTGCAGAGGATTTGTGGTCATAGACCATGGGGACTGCCCAGGGGTGGACTGACCATTTGGAAGCTCTGGGTCAGTAGGGGGCCCCATGAGATGCCCCTGGAACCTTTTTCATAGGCTTTTTTGTGCAAGGACACAGGGGCCCCATCATCCCCTATTGCCCAGGGGCCCCATGATTTGTCAGTCCGCCCCTGGGACTGCCATTAACTGGTCCCTGGATTGGAAACAAAATGTGTTCAGGCAGCCTCTAATTCACACTCCTATAACCCCAAGGCTGCCCGAGAATAGGTTTGCCACCTCATCCCTTTAAAACCGAATACATTTTAATCACACAGTGCAGATAAGGCACTGAGTTTAGTTACCACCGTAGCCTCCCTACTGGTCTGATTATGTCAGTATTTCTGTGCTCAAAGTGGTGCTTTTTTTGCATGGAAATATGAAGGGCAGCACAATGGCTAAATGGTTAGCACTTTCGCCTGGCAATCCTAGGGTGATTGGTTCGAATCCCAACCATGGCACCTCTTGCCTGGAGTTTGCATGTTCTCCCTGTGCCTGTGTGGGTTTCCTCGGGGTACTCCGGTTTCCTCCCACACTCCAAAGACATGCTGGTAGGTAAATTGGATCCTGTCTAAATTGTCCCTTGTATATGAATGTGAAGGACCTTAGATTGTACGCCCCTTGAGGGTTAGGGACTGATGTGAATGTACAATATATATGTAAAGCGCTGCGTAAATTGACAGCGCTATATAAGTACCTGAAATAAATAAATGTATTTTTTTATTGTAGGCCTGTAATTTTTAGGAATAACTCACTGAAATCTGTCTGAACAAGAGTCTAGTAAACATCCCGGGTATGTTAAAATTTGAAACACAAAATCATAAATTATAATTTAATAAATAATCAAAAAATAATAATAAATTGAATTCAATAATATAACCAAACCAAAAACACTGAAATTTGAAATATAGCACCAAGTTCACACATCACTGAGCAAAGTCGCAAAATCGTTTTCAGTGTCTGATGACGAATTTCCCCACGAATCATTATCACTCAATTCTGCAAGTGGTTCTGATTTACTATCGCTGTTCTCTAGCCAGTCTAAAACCGCTTTTGACCTAAAGGGACGATTTTTGGACGCCATGGACATTTTCCAGGCAGAAAGAACAGAATAAATGCAGGCAGGGCACTGGACAAAGCAATAGGGACAAAATGTATGTGAAATCTGACTGATGTGAATGTACAATATATATATGTAAAGCGCTGCATAAACTGACAGCGCTATATAAGTACCTGAAATAAATAAATGGTTTGATACACTAATGTTTTACTATGTGATTTTAGTGTATTTAGTGAATGTCACTTTTTCACATTTTTAAATTTTCCGCCATTCCATCCCCCGTACGTCCTGACGTCGCAGGGAACAGAACCCAGAAGACAGGTGCCGGCATCGGCCGGAGGACATTGCCGGGGACACTGCAGGAGGGACATCGTGGGAGCGAAGGACAAGGTAAGTGAAGAAGAGATCCCAGAGCAGCGCTGCAAGGTATTCCTGAGTGTAGCTCGGGGTTACCGCTTGTGGTGCTGAAACTTTACCGCGAGCTACACTTGGGAATACCTCCCAGGAGGTTAATCAGCCCCAGGACCAGTGTAATTAATATGTGTTCGGTTTTAAAAGGATCAGGTGGCAACCTTACATGAGACTCCAGTTTTTGCTAATGTCCTGAGGTGATGGACCTGTTCTCTGGAGAAGTTTTCCTCTTTTTTTTAAACATACATTTTTTCCTCTGAAATGTCTATGAAAATCTGTGTATTGCCCTGAGCTATCAGTTTCCACAACAGTTACCTTCAGGGTCAGAAACTAGACCCCACTCTATGGGGCTGGCCAGTAATGAGTGCCTCAGGCACCAGATCCTGCATCGGGTGCTCACCTGGGCACGTAGTGTAGCTAGCCACAGGTTGCTATACAGGCCCAGGACCATGGCCCATTTCTATGGTTCCCAGACTGCGATAGACCCCTTTGGAGGTATGCCCACTGTGACTGGCAAAGCCTGAACTCCACATTAGACCAGGATTAATGAGAAGGTAAAACAGGGTTTCCCTATGTATGTACACGGGTTCATAGCTTTTAATAACACAATCCACATTATGTAGCACATTATGCAATTTTGCAGGCAGAGGATTTGGGAGTTATTCGCTTTATTGTGGTATCTCCTGCATTTTTGTCTCTAACATTTCTCAGTACAATTATTGTAAACTTGCCCTTTTCCTTATTCTTCTTTCAAGTCTCAGAGGGTTGACATTGCTCCATCACACATTTCTGGATGAAAACAGGTTAGGACAGAGTTTACTGTTTCCACACTGTACAGGAAACCTGGTTGAACCATCATGGGACTGAAAGCAATTAGATGGTCTCTGCAATACTGGACCTTGCCCAATCAGGGTACAGTTGGACAATGTCACAGCAATGACCTACATAAACCATCAAGGGGGCACCAGAAGTCAGGCTTCCATAATAGAAGCAAGGCTTATACTCTCCTGGGTGAAAACTCACATTCCAACTCTCTTGCAGGCAGAGGATTTGGGAGTTATTCGCTTTATTGTGGTATCTCCTGCATTTTTGTCTCTAACATTTCTCAGTACAATTATTGTAAACTTGCCCTTTTCCTTATTCTTCTTTCAAGTCTCAGAGGGTTGACATTGCTCCATCACACATTCTGGATGAAAACAGGTTAGGACAGAGTTTACTGTTTCCACACTGTACAGGAAACCTGGTTGAACCATCATGGGACTGAAAGCAATTAGATGGTCTCTGCAATACTGGACCTTGCCCAATCAGGGTACAGTTGGACAATGTCACAGCAATGACCTACATAAACCATCAAGGGGGCACCAGAAGTCAGGCTTCCATAATAGAAGCAAGGCTTATACTCTCCTGGGTGAAAACTCACATTCCAACTCTCTTGATAATCCACATTCCTAGAGTGGGCAAGTGGCAGATGGACTTCCTAAGCCACCAATGCATAAACCCGGGGTAAACGTCTTTTCACCTTAAGATGTTTCAAAATCTCTGTCAAGGGTAGGTAAAACCAGATGCGTACATCCTGGCTTTAGGGTTCAACAACAGGCTGAACAATTTTGTAGACAAGACCAGGGATGCTCCAATCATTCCTTGTGCTCAATTCAAGCTGGTTCTGTCCTCCCACTGATGAAGATAATTCCTTGACTGCTGCACAACAGGGAGGAGGAAAGGGTTCCAGTGATTCTTATTTCCCCAAATTGGTCTAAAAGCATGTGGTACACAGATATACTCATACCCTTGGCAATCAAGCCTTGACCTCTTCCAAACAGACTAGACCTACTGGTCCAAGGCTCCTTAATCAGTCGCTGGTGTTAATTGCATGGCTGTTGAAAACCAAGTCAAAAAGATGAGGGGTATTTCTGATATTTGTTTTTCCCACCTTATTCAGAGCAAGAAAATCAAACTCCCATAAGATTCACCATCACACATAGAAGGTTTACTTTGCCTGGTACAAGGACAGGAAGCTGAGTCACAGGGAATACTCTATCACTTGTATTTTGGGCTTTCTTCAGTTGGGTGTTGACCAACATGTGGACCTGAATATCGTCATGGACAGGTTTCTTATCAAGGTTCTACCTTTCCTCAGGGCTTGTGCTGCTCCATGTGCTGGCATTCATCTTAGGTCTGCAAAGCATTGTGGGATCCTTTATGCTTTCAGCCCTCTGTGGCTCCTCCCAGGAGGTGGCGGCTTATCACATTTAAGTCTGCTGTTTGCAGCTGTCCATTGCATTCGTGTCCTGTCTGTTGCACAGCAGCAAGCTCCTGTTTAGTTAACGTTTTGCTCTCCTGGATACTGACTGGGGGATAGAGTGGTGGGAGGAGTGGAGGAGATCGTCTGTTAGGTGAGGGTGGGGTAGGCTTTCCTGAAGAGATGGGTTTTCAGGGTGCCCCTAAGGTGAGCAGGGTAGGTGACAGTCTGATGGATTGGGGTAGTGAGTTCCAGAGGATGGGGGAAGTCCTGCAGTCGGGCGTGGGAGGAGGAGACCAGGGAGCTAGAAAGTAGGAGGTCTTGTGAGGAGGGAAGAGTACGGGTTGGGTGGTATTTGGGTATCGGGTCGGTAAGGTAGTTTGGGGCAATGTTATGAATGGCTTTGTACGTCAATGTTAGTAGTTTGAACTTAATGCTTTGGGCAATCGGAAGCCAATGGAGGGAATGACAGAGGGGGGTGGCAGATGCGGAGCGGTTGGTAATGTGGATAAGTCTGGCCGCTGAGTTCAGGATAGACTGAAGCGGGGATAGTCTGTGATGAGGTAGGCCAGTGAGGAGGGAGTTGCAGTAGTTGAGTCGTGAGATAATAAGGGAGTGAATGAGTTGTTTAGTAGTGTCTGGGGTTAGGAACGTACATATTTTGGAGATGTTGGGGAAGAAACCTTTTGCCTCACAATCTCTAATTAAAGCAGAAGGCAAAACTTATCTTTTCAGTTTGGAAAGAGTAAAGGAGGGTTATAAATCCTGTCAGTTTTTTTTTTTTTTTGTCATTTGTGCTCCATTACCAAGATTTTCAGTCACTTCCTGTCCCATAGTTAAACAGAGTGTAGGAGAAAATCCCTTCAAAGTGAAGGAATACTTGGTTGTCACCACGTTCACTAGTACCCAGTGGAAGAATTCTCCTCCATCACTCTTCTTAGGACAACCCATATTTTGGGA